TGGGGGAAACCAGAGGGGAGATGCAAGGGGTGACAGGTACTCTGGCCCTGCCCCTCTTTGTGGTGGCTGTAAACACCTTCCCCTGAGACAGAACTGGGAACTTGTGCCCACACCCTCTGGGGGAGGACATGTGGACACAGAGCCCAGTTCTAGGTGTAGGCTGGGCTGGGACCGGCACCCACCTTCTGTTGTCCAGTCCTTCTGGAGAGTCACATGCCTGCTTCCAGAGCTGCAGGTGCTCTCCCAAGCCCATCAACATGAGCACTCCCATTTTAGCAGAGCAGATTACAGCAGCAAGGGGCATGAGACTAAAAAGTCCCAGAGGTCAGAGGCAGTTGAGCCAAAAAACTGTGGGACCCTTGGTGTACCTGGGATCCTGCCAGCTGTGCCACCCTGTGGCCTTGCTGTCCCTTTGGCAGCACACCAGTTCTTTTTTTGGTCGGGGGTACTGAGGATCGAGCTCAGAACCTCATGCTTTCCAGGCAGGTACTGTGCCACTGAGCTACATCCCTGGCCCAACACACCAGTTCTTATGGGTCACTCTGTGGCAGCCCCACTGGCCTTTGTCTTGTTTGGGGGACTTGCTTATTGTAGGGGGGCCATCTCTTCATACGGATGCTGGCTCCACTGAGCAGCTCCTGTTTCCTGCTGTCAAAGCAGTCCTTGGAGCAGAATCTGAAAGAAAGTACTCTGTGAACACTTGTTGAGTGACTACAGTAAATGCTCCCTTAGCTCTGTCCTTTACCCAGAAGGGGTCCATGTAAAGTCCCAAGGGTGGGAGGCACAGGGATGTCTGCATCTGAGCTGGCCCGTGTTGAGAGGAGGCTGCTAGACTCCCAGTGCCGGCCTCTAGTTACTCATCACATCCTGGCCCCCTTGGGATCTGGGTGGTTTGTCCTCTCCCTACAATGGCCCCGAAGCCCTCCTCTCCTCAGCTCTCTTGCCAGTCCCAGCACCACCTGCCCAAACTCCTCTTCAGAGGAGCAGCAGACTCCCACATCCTGGCCATGGGAGGTAATGGCAGAGGGCTTCCGAAGAGGAGACCACCAGAGCCTCCCCATTACACAGGGGCCTTGGCTGAGACAGCTGGGCAATGGCCAGAAGCCGCTCAGCCTATCTCAGAAGTTAGAGGAGGGTGGGTACTCACTGGAGAGATTGAACCTCTCTGAGACTCTTGCAAGGTTGGCGTCAGATCCAAGATAACAGCTAAATGGGCCCTCTGATCACCTAATGGAGCTTGGGACAGTGCCTGGGCAAAGTGGCCAGAACAGATGTAGGCAGCAGGTATGCCGGACAGGGACATTTAATCTATCTTGGGTTGTTGGCCACAGCCGGAGTCTGACCCAGCTTATAATTTCAGGAGCCTTCCCCACCCTGAGAAGTGGATTTTATGACCTCTCTGCTCTGTGACCTCTGTCCCCTCACAGCAGGGCTGGGCTTCCTCGCCGACCAGAGCAAGGCAAAGGTGGCACAGCACCGTGTTTCCTCTTCCTCCTGCATACAGAAGCCCAAGTTGTCCTGTTTTTACTGCCTGCCAGGCACTGCCCCTGAAGTATCTTCTGGAACCTAGCAACCACAATATGAGGAGGGCCTAAGTGACCCCATTTTGTAGACCAAGAAAGCTAAGGTACAGAGCAGTTAGAAAGCCGGGTATGAACCATGGGGCCTGTCCAGGAGGGGCCCCTAGAACTCAGACCTTAGGACCACTCTCACCAAACCCAAGTGGAAACAAAGAGTGCAAAGTGAACACATCTGAAGATCCTAGGAGAAAACATTTGAGTGGAATGGAATGAATGGAGAATACCTGAGAAAGTTAGTGTGGAGTCAGCTTTATTTGGTTTTTTGCAGCCTGCCAAGAAGGCAGACTTCTGGCTGTGGTTTCCTTGGGGAAATTGGGATGGACAGGAAAGGGGAAGCCTGCTCCCCTACTCATTTAGAAAGTTCTCCAGAGGAGACTCATATGCCTACAACTGGCACAGCAAAGAGAGACTTCAGGGCATGGGGGAAGGAATTAGCAAAAAGGAGAAAAAAAAAACTGGCAAAGGGAAGAGGCTGGATAGAAAGACACGTGTGGATGAATTTTAATGCAATCAGAAAGCTGCCATAATGATAATAAAGGAGTACATTCAGACGTCAGGAGACGGAAAGCAAAGAGCTGTGTCCTGGCATTTAAATCAGGCTCTGTGGAGGAGGTGCCTTCTCTCCTTGTCTTTTTCTTTCCAAGGGACGAAATGGAATATTTAGGCAGGAGGCCCAGAGAGTAGCAAGGGGCAAGTCCTCTCCTCGCAGTTTTTCCGGAGATCCCCTTTAATCGGAGCCTTTAAAAGGCACCAGAGTTGGTGGGGGGCTGGTCTTTGTCTCAAAGAAGTTTCAATCATCGACTAAAGAAATGAGACGTCTTTTCACTTCAAGTGAAACTGATGCTGCAACACCACCAGGCCCAAAGGTCCCTTGCCTTTTCTCTGTCTCTTTCTCTCTGTACATCTCCTCCTTGCGCTTTATCCCGAATGTTCTCTCCTCTGCCTCTCGCCATCCTCGTTCCCCAACTCCACTCCTGACTTCACCTCCTCCCATCCCACTTCACTTTACCCCTTCCATTCATTCTCTGCCCTCCTCTTGTTCCTTGTCCCTGCTGCTCCCACTCCACAGCTTGGAGTTGGTGAGCCAGGGCTTGAGCCCTAGAGATGGGGTGGGGTGTGCCTCAAAGTCCTCCTGTGACCTGGAGCCAGGTACAGCAGGCCTGGCTGGAGTAGGCAGTGGGGCCTGGGGCTCCAGGCCCAGAATTTTGTCAGAAGCCCAGCTGTGGTGAGGGCCAGGCTGATGTTCCCTGACCCAGAACTGGTGGCAAGAATTGATACTGTGCCCTGTGGGTTACTGGAGGAGCAGGCACCCAGCACTATCTCATCACTGGGAATGTGCCCAGTGCTAAGTGCATCAGGGCTGAGGGGTGCCCACAGGGAAGTGGTCAGAGCCCTCTGTAGAGGGGGACCTGGATGACTTGTTTCGGTTTGCTCCAGACCCCAGAAGAGCCCCCACCCCCAGCTCTCCTGGCCATGAGGGCTCTCTGGGGGAGAAGGTACTGGCTACCCTGAGTACACAGGGCCATCAGGGTCCTTGCGTGCTCCTGTGTTCAGAGGATATCACAAACAAGTGGCCAGTTGCAGGCTGGTGGGAGTGATCTGCACCTCCATAGCCTTGTCTGTGCATCAATTATCTACCAGTCCACAAACATCTAGTGAGTACTTGCTGAGTGCTGCCACCACTGGGGCCTGGTTCCAGTTACTATGCTGCATATCAGTTTAGTTCCAGACCAAGCCGTGTTAAACAGCGTTCATTATGCTCACTGATTCTGAGGGTCAGGAATTCACAGGACAGCATGGAAGGCCTGTCTCTGCTCCAGAATGTCCGGGCCTCAGGTGGAAGACTGACCGGATGGGAGCTGAAATTACCTCAAAGATTGGTGTCTAGTGTTGGCTATCAGCTATCACTGATGGGGGCATCAGTGGACTTCATGTGGGATCACTGCATCTTCACACCATGGTGGTTGGCTTTCTCAGAGCAAATATAACCCCCAAAAGAGAGGCAGCTGGGAGCTGCTCCCTTTCACAACCTAGCCTCAGAAGTCTCTGGCACCCTCCTGCCATTCTTCATTTGTGAGAGCAGTCCCCACAGAGGGGTAAATGACACTGAGGGAAGAAGGGCACATGGGACGGAGAATCTTTTGCAGTCAAGTACAAGCTGCTGCAGATCCACACAGCCCCGTGGGACCCCCATTACCCTGAGCACACAGCTGAGTGGGTCAACAAACCACGTGACAGTTGTCATGCGTGTATAGGGGCTGCTGAGGCACCTCCAAGAGTAGACTCCCCTAAAGTGCTCAGAGCTGAATCTTGCAGTGTGAACACATCGGAGAGCCAAACCAAGGACTACATGTCCAGACGGAGGTAAAAGTGACAGAGAAAGGGATGGCCCTAGGAATGACATGGACATGACTCATTCAATCAGTTCCTCCCGTAATCAGAGGGTCTACCACGTGTCAGGCAAGGCTGCGGCAGCAGTCCTGCTCTGTTTTACTGGACAGCAGACTGGGGGTGGAGGATGGCAGTACCACACAGGCAAAGGTACTGTCCTTTGAAGCCAGGGGTATAGGAATGGAGGACTGAGGCAGAGAACAAGCAAGAAGAAGCACGACACTTTGGGGAAAAGGCACTATTTAAACTGAGCTTTAGAAGAAGAGGAGGAGGATTTAGCTTTGTGACGGGAGTGCTCGCCAGGCAGAGGGAAAAACCTAAGTGAAGACTTTGCAAATGATTGGGACCCCTGAAGAAGATAGCTGTGCTAAGAGAGAAAAGGAATGCTGAGCAGCAGAATGACCCCTTATGGGCCGTAGGAGACTGGCCAAATCAAGACCTGTGCTCCTTGTTTGCTGCCAGCCTCCTAGGCAGGAGGAGGCGGGGTCGCTGCCACCGGCTCCCACCGCTCACCTGCGCCAACTTCACCGGCTCCTCTGCCTGCGCCCTCCCTCTCCTACCCTGGCACTCTGCACTCATCCCCTCCCTAGGTCTTATGACCTCCCTCCCGGACTTCTCTCGCTCGGAAAAAACCTCCAGGCTGTACCCCATGACCTCACAGGCTGATGCCCCCACTCTGGCTTTGAGCTTCACCCCTCTGGCCCAGCCCCAC